ATGTCATGCGCTGGCCCCCTGCCTTGTGGGGTGGTTGTGGTGGAAACGGTGGCATTGAACCCTTTGGTACAGGGGGTGACACACACACAAAATATATATACATAATATATATAAGCATACATATACAATCATATACATTCACTTTTGGCAGCACAGAAAATAGGTTCTTCAACGGGAAGCAGCATCAGAATTTCCACCCAAGGCTCCGATGAACATCTCACAGGCAGATGTGAGAATGAGGTCCCCCAGTTGGAAGTCCTGCATCAGCAGGATGCGGCTCGTGTGGGCAAAGTGCCTTGACTGCCTTTGCTTCCACTTCCAAGAGAAAAGCATGCAGGGATTGATGACATGAGGGGGCGAACACTGCCAAACAAAATATGTTTGGAAGCTTTTGGAAGTGGGGAAGGGCGACATGACCCCACTGACTGAATGGAAGCGTCATAAAGCATCGGCTCCTTGAGATATTTCCAGCGCAGGCACATGAGGCGCCCTTCCTGCGCCAACATCCTCATGCGTGGAGGCAAACGTCCAGATTGCCAGGGATGATCCTTATAGGGGATCACTCCTGCGCAGGCACGGCAGAACAAAGCATCGCAGCCGGAAGAAAAACAAACAAACGCGGTAGCTTTCTTATGCTTGGTTTTCTTCAAAGGCATGCAGTTGGCTGAGCTCACTGTACTCCTTTACTCTGCCGGAAATTGCTCATTCGGAGCGATTCTGAGGCCTAGTGACCTAGTGAATCGATAGTGACTCGCTGCCACATTTGAGTGACGAAGTGGGACACTTCCGGGATGCACGCGACACACCTTTCCATCAACGCAGCGACGGTCGAAATGAAAGACTGGGGGAACGCACAAAGAACAAAGGAATGCAAGGTATCCTTGGGGAAGGCACTACTTTACTCCTTCAGATTGCCATTCTGTGACCCAATAGCCAGTAGTCCGTCACAAACAGCCCACCTGATGTGAGGACTTGCTGCAGCTGCAAGGGGCCCTTTGCTTCGACATGAATCAACCTCAGTTCAAAATCCAAAGATCAGCTCTGTGCAGGTTCACTAGCATACAGTCGGGTGGCCCGGGCGGTTTAAGGTTAAACACCGTTTTGGGGTACAAAGGCAGTCGGAGGGATCACATTCTGATGAAATGCTCCTCGAATTTTGGAACCTCTTTGAAGGCCCCACTCCCCAAAAGCCCACAGGACAAACCAGCCCACGTCGTAAGAGATGGGTCCAGGCATGACTCCAAGAGGTATACAGCAACTTGACAACTCTACACTAACTTCTACACTACGTACATTCCCTCAGCACATCAGGGTATCCGGAGTAAAATGCACGGTGGCTGTCTCCATGCGACCACCTGATGCGATCTTTTGTCCTGATGCAATATATCTCTTCACGACGACCCTTCGCTGACGGCTGCCCAGGTGCTGCAAGGGCTCACGCCCTGGGAGCCGTAAGGCCACAGCCTTTCGCGCTTGGCTCACTTCTGATGCCTCAGAAGCAAAGGCCACAGGAATTGAGGGTCAACCAGGTGCAGCCACCAGGCGCTTGGTCACCAGGTGCTTGGCCACTTAGGCATGGGTAAGTCGCCTTGACATACCTGGTCGACTAAATACATAGAATTCTACTATAAACATCGGACCAGCTGCAACCGAGACTTGTTAATTTTTAATACTTAAACTTGTTTAAAGAACACATAACGTCCTGAACTTGAGAAACCACCGTTGTTCTTTCACCCCCTCCCTTCCCAGCCTGGCAGCGCAACGGGAAGTGGAAAATGGCCAGGCCTTGGTGGTTTCTGTCAGAGTCGAGCAACAATCACTTGCGGGGAAGATGAGGATTTCTCTTACCAAAATTCCCCTCAGAAACTCCTTAGGACAATCCAAATTCACTTCCATTTCTTTCTTCCTCCTCACTGGCAAAAGGCATCGCAGTCTACAACCTGCGGGCGCGAATCAGGTCTTCATTTTGTGAGTCGCACACGAACGGCTAACGTGGCCGTTACTCTTCACTCGTTTTGGGAGGATTCCTGAAGGCAAAGCTACTCAGGGGGTGGAGCCAATAGTCCAGGAAGCGGTTTCACAGATGTAAAAAGAACTATATATATATATAAATTCATCATATCCTTGTTTGTCTTTGACCATCCCATGTCCTTTGAGGATATTCCAAGAACACGGCCACCCTCAAAGGCGGCTAACACTTCCCTTTCCAATCGAAGTGGCTCTCACCTGGCGGAATCCACACCGCCTGGAGCGCGGGGGGCCCGGCAGGGACCCCAGTGGGTCTCAGAGGCACTAGCATCTACAACCGAAAGGATGTGAAGTGGCGACAAGCCATTGCATCCCTCTTCATCGGGCCTGCAGGGCGGTGAATCAATGAACCACCACGCCACTACAAGCTAGAAATACCAGTCACTATGGTCATGGGATGTCGTCCCCTCTGCTGAACTGGAGTTGGAGCAGGGTATGAAGTGCATGGGTCCATGGAAGAACCACATTGGCTCGTGGAATGCTTGCAGCCTACTGATGTGTGGGTCGTGATGGGCCTAGGAGCCTCGAGTTGGAGCCTAAGAGCGGAACGCCTGTCCAAAGACATGCCAAAAAACGTATGATGTGTCTGTCAACGCTGGCCATCCATATCGAGTGACTCTGTGGTGTCACAAACAGCGGGCCATCCCCATGACTCCGCCTGGTCCGCGATGGGATCCCTGGCGATGAACTCCATGATATCCATGGTGTCGGGGCCTCGACCCGGGTGGTCACCCGTGTGGCACGGGGTGACTGGGATGATCGGCGAAGCATCTGCAACCTCGACGAATCAGCTCTGTAAGACGCTGAGTACGAAAGAGAGGATATGTTCGTTGAACTTTCTGAAGGTGGTATGGAAAATCCAACTAAGTTATATAACGCAACATAGCATTGGTAATCATTGGTAGCTTGTCTACATCTGATCTCATTTGCCGAAAAGATCTTGGTTCATCTTCAAAGGTCTTCGATAGGAATCCTTCAAACCTGGAGATGCTGTTTGCGAGCAAGGTCTTTTGGTCTTTTGAGATTTTGAGTTTCTGGATAAACCTGATCCTGGCTTTTCATGGTAATAAGGTGTTATACTTCTATACGTACACAATCTTATACAAATGCATATTACAATAGCCTATAGCGAACATGTCTTGTTTCGTTTCCCTCTTTCCTTGGCTCAGCCAGCCTTAGTGAGCGCAAATCTCATGACCTTTGAACCAAGCTTTTCTTTTTTTGTGTGTTCCATCGTATTCCCACGTTCCCACACCCTAAAATCCGTGTGCCATCCCTATTCATCTCGCTGGTCGCCTGAGAACTCTTTGATGATCTCCTCTACTCGGTTGGTCACTGCTGGCTCATCCCCACTCTTCTTATTCCTGGGGAGCTGCGAAAAGCTGAGTGCTCAGGTTGGAAGTGGTCTGTGCCTGAAAGAAAGCCTGAATCTTGCTGGAATGAATGTCAGTGTTCATCCGTTTTGTCTGTTGAATGCCCGCTTTCTGGCTCATTCCCCCCCTTCCAGTTGTCGGTTTGCTGGCTCGCAAATGCTTTCCGAAGCGACTGCAATTCCCCAAGCTGTGGAACAGTTCCAGGATGTTCCGGAAGGATGGTGTTTCCAGTTAATCTTCCAGGGTATTTGCCTTTCTGGATTTCTTCTCCACTTTGGTGTCCCTGCGATGGAGCGGCGGCAACAGTCCAGGCATGACTTGAACGAAGCTTTCACTTGCATTGCCTTGGTGTCCATGCTTTGAGGGCAAGTTGGGGTCCTGTTCTCGTGGGTGGGAACCAAGATACCCCGGTTAATGGCCGCCTTTGGGCAAACATCAAAAATAATGCAAAGCTGTTGACAAGAATGTGATACGTGAAAACACTAGTCTGCCCAGTATTTGCAATAGCTTGGGAACCTGGGCAAGCCTGTGGTGTAGGAGCTTGTTCATCAACGGAAAGCATCCCCGTGTAGTACTCAAGAGTCGTCTAGCGCAGCTCAGTTCGGCACGAAGGATGAAGCGTGGCGTGACGGTGACGCCCTTGCCGGGGAAGCGCGGGATGCCCAAGACAGCGTGCACCTGCGCTCTGCCGTCGTCTGCAGGCAAAGGCCGCCTTTCTGTTTCATGGGCATGCAGCGTGCTGGAATCACAACTAACAAGGGGGAATTTCATCAGGTACGATATGCGTCGGCGTCTGCCAATTTTTGAACTGTTCCAACTTTTGTACTTGACGTGATTTGGTGGGCACCTTCTGGTTCTTACTCTTGCTGTAGTAGTTTTGTATGGCTTTCATTAAGAGCTCAACATGCGTAAACATGCGCAAATAGTATACTACAAATAATCACAACCAGCCATAACAAGCCACTTCTATTTGCACACACCTCGGACTACTCACTCATGAAACGTGAACTGCCACAATCATTACTTGAAGGCTGCTTTGCTTATTTTCTTGGGATGGGCACCCTGAAATCTCTGCAGCTCACCCGAGCAAGTTGAAATGCAAGAAGTGCTTCATAGAACCCAGGACTGTTCTCATTAAAGGCATCCATTCGACATTGTTTCTCATCATGGCCTTCAATGGACCTCCAGTGTTCCACGGTGTTCCACGCCGCCGGTGTTCCGCGCCTGAACCCCGAGGAACATTACGCTGGGCGACTCACTGCTGCCAGCGGTCACCATCAACTCACCTGGTCGCACCGCCCCGTAGATTGAACATCATTGCTCAATGATGGTGACCGATTATTGAATCAGGATGCACAATGAGGAGCACAATTATTCAGGATCCTGCCACTAGGAGTGCTTGCCCAATCATGTTGATCCTGAATCATTATGCTCCTGAACAGCATGCCAAGCACAATAACAGTGGCAGCGGAGAATACCTACTGGGTCACAATAACAGTCTAGCAAATACGACAAACATCATTTAGAAATATCTATCTGTCTATCTATCTAGAACATCCACTCACAAAGGTTGACCTCCAGCACCATCAAGGGAAACCGATTCGCAAAACCCTTCGCCCCATCAAGTTAACTGTCCACTCGTAGCTCCGAAAGAAAAGCTCCGACACGTCAAAGAACCGAAAGAACTTGGTGGAACGCCTCCGAACGCCAAAGCGAACCGATCGCACCGCTCGCTGGGCACAGTCTTCGGAAGCCCCAGCCTTCGCCGATCGCCATGATCGGGACGCCACTGGTGCACCAAGTCTCCCAAAGCTCATCCTCAGCAGCCACCCGTCGGTCGGTGGAGCGACAGGACAAGCAGCAAATAGCAGCAAGCACCTCAAAAGGTCCGGCATCAATGTAACTACTATAGAATAGATACTTAGCTCACTTAGATCTACTATATTTAGGTTGTCGTGGTATGTTTGGTGGCACCGCGCATCTTCGCAGTTCTTTCTTTTCCCAACACGCCATAGAGCGATATAGATGTCATCAATATATATATATATAATATATGCAAGTATAAGGTGCGTTCCAGTGATCCCTCTACATGCTTCAGCTTCTCTTGATCATTTTCATCATCTACAGGGTCACAATGAGTCTCACCTTATCTCACCTTCCACTCTGGACTCCACCTCTGAAGGCCTCTCAAGGACCCCAGGTCAAGGTTGACTCACATGGCATCACCTCCCGCCGACCAACCTGTTGAGAATTCAGTGCCATGGATCCCATGATGGATCTCATGATGGATCCCATCGAGACCGGGTCGGCACCGAGTCCCTCGCTGACTCTGCCTACCCCAAGCGTCACCGACTCCCTGCGAAAAGCAAGCTTCTGGGACCTTTCCACGACGGCAAGCGCCACCGTCCTTGTCCCAACCTTTGGTAATCTCGTCCTGTGCGAGGTCTGGGATGGGGAGAGAGCTGGCTAATGACAGAGCAGGGCAGTGAAACTAAGGTAGCTATATAGCTAGTACGATGTATTATGGCTAGAGGCTAGCGGCCTAGCGGCGTGGCCCATCATGGCCCTACACTCGAGTCTAGAGCGGTCAAACCAAATCAACCAATAGAATCCGCTACAAAATGATAGAATCTCTTAGAATCGAACGATTATGACCAATTCATCTTCCTTACTTTATTGTTGATCCACGCTGGTGCAACATGGTGCAACCCCAGGACCAACCAAGCACCTGCAACTCCAACGATTTCTGTCTGGGCCCCCTCGAACCAAATTGACCGGACCAGCAGGCCAGCACCATATAGTGCTTCTGCTTGCTCCCAGCGGAGTGTTGGGAGGCCCTTTGACCAACGGAAACGGACCGTTTTCGATGCCCGCGAGCCAAACGGATGGCTCCTCTTCTTGCAGGATCTGCACGCTTCGTTGCAACTCCATGAGCCACTCTCTTTGTGTCGCACTGTCGGGCGCGTGGAACACCAGGGATTGTCCTGCCAGGTTCGCATCGAATGACAGCGCAGGACAACACCGACATGACATGAGTTGTTTGACACGGAACACTCCGGAGGAGAGAAACAACTGAGGCCAAACAAAGGGAATACAAACAGGATCAAACAGGCTCCTTCTGCAAACCAAACAGGCTAGCAGCAATGATGTTCATGCCGGCATGGAAAGGAAGAAACGGCTCTACAGGCTCTACGCAAGAAGTCGGGCAGCCATGTATTAAACTTTTTTCCATAGGAACAGGCCATATGTTGGACAGTTCGTCCTGCAAAAGAGGTGGTTCTAAGTGCGCATGTCATTGTGAATGAGTCTTGACGAGTGGCTTCACGACATGTGTTGCATCAGTGAAAGCCATTCTAGCCATGCCAGGCATTTGTTTGCAAAACATTGCAACACATGGTTGCAAGACATGTTCACACCTCCATGGGTCATCATAGGAACAGTCATGGGAACGCGTCAACACTGAGTCCAGTAATCGAGTAATCATTTGCTATCGTAAAGGCAGCTTTGTGATGGCATGGGCACACCTTTACTATGCGGCCGGATCCTCTATATGTATATATATATATATCCATGTGATGGGTTTGCTAGTACTACGCAAAAAAAACTAAGCCAAGATGCCATCCTTTGATATTGGCTTTGTAAATCCTGGTCCTCGGCTGGGATCCTCCAAGCTGAAACAATCCTGGACAAGCTGCCAAGACCCATCTTGTGGGGACGGACTACGGAGCCCCAGGCGGACTCCGAAGTTTGCATCGACTAGTCAAAGGACCACAATAAATTCAACAACATTGGTGATTCAAAACATGACCAGTCTTAGTGAGCCCTTGGTGTCTTCAACAGAACTCATCAGAATTCAACCACCTTGTTCTGGCGACCCAAAAATGCTTCCGAAAGGGCGTGCCTCCACCTGATTGGGGGTGCTGGAAAGCCCAATTCCAACCCACAGTAAGAATACAGTGCACGCATGTCTGCACGTACCGACCATGTGGGACGATGTGGAACCTGGTTCAGGCCCTCGTTTGCAAACACTCCCCCTGAATTGTTGCTCAGGATCTCTGATGGATGACCCCTGAATACATCTGAATACCACCTGCTATAGCCATCGTCATTCTTGCTTCCATGACCTTTCAAGAGTGATCCTATGAGTCTGGAGCAGCTCTAATGATGCGCCGGCATCGCATGTCTGCGGATTGGCCTTTTTCCAATGCACGATTGGCATAATTGTCTTGCATGCTTCATCGTCATCCCCGTTCTAAGAAACCTCACAAGGAGATCACAAGGAAATGGTCTTCTTGGTGCTCAGCTTGCCCAGTTTGTGTTGCAGCTTAACGCACACTGACGTGAGATTGTCATCCTTCTCATGATGTGGGGAAGGTGGCCCAATTGCTTTGCCATTGCCGCTGCGCCACATCCTTCGCCCCAGGCTTTGGCGTGCCTGCGCTGCCATTGGATGCTCTACCGAACCCATCACAGGCTGTGGGCCCGGCGTCCTCACTGCGGGAGCTGGCGGCTGTGCGGGAGATGGAGCACTAGCGGGCTGAACCGTCGGCGTGTAGCTAGGTGGCCGGGAGACCGGTGGGGCCCCCACCGTGCTGCGAACGCCTGGCATCTTTGGGAATGGCGCCAGTAAAGGCTGTGATGCCGGCTGCGGTGGCTGTGGTGGGCAAAAGGAGCGCTGGGGCGTGGGGACGCTTGGGGGGTTTGGCGGTGTGGTGCCAGATCCACTTAGGGAAGGCCTCCCGGTTGGCCCGTTCTCACTCACTGGTTTCAATGGAAATGGTGGTGCAAAGGGCCCTTGGGGCGTCGAGCATGCCGAGGTTGGTTGGGAGCGGCGCGGCGAGCGCCAGGCGGCTTGGACCCCAGGAGTCCAGCTGCTGTTGGAGATCGCATTCCTCACATCGGGGACAAAAACAGTTCAGTTCCACTACCATGTGTACCCAAGGGGCAAATACCAAAATACCTTAACTTAAAATACACCCTGGAAAATTAACATGGAACCTGAAAACCACTGGGTTGCAAAGGAAAATAGTCTTCTAGAGTTCCATTCTCAGGTTCCATGTTAGTGAGTCGGAGTGTAATGATTAATGACTCCATCTACATGTACAGTGGGGGGGGTACCATGTCATCCAATTGTAGGAACCACAAAGGCACACACGTATGTTGGCCGGAGGTTTGGAATGGTTTGGACTGACGGACGGGGTATGAGATCCACAGGGGGGGCTTGCAAATATCGCACCCGCCGCATCCCGATCTTCCAATTGCATGATCCATTTATTTATTTCATTGAACCTGATCAATGTATGCTCTTTGCAACCGAAGATTCTGTGGGCTGGCAACCCAATGTTGGGCAGTCATGCCGGGAGCCACCTGAACAGTGATATGTTGCGATGGCACCACCTGGGCATCACTGAAAGACCATCTCATCCTTTGAGGGATATTCGCAGGCACTTGCCTGCAAGGAATTCGCGGTGTCAAAGTCACAGCACTGCGATTTGCAGCAAACTTTGGGTCCGGCGCACTCAGAATGTACCCCGTGGATGCTTCTGATATCATCCTCCTCCCAGGTTCTTGGGAGAGCATCTGGAGAAACAGGCAGGCACATATTCACAACAATCAATAGGCAGGGGTATTAAAACGTGTTCACTTTACACCACATCCAGGGCCCTTGAAAATTCAACAACAACTGTGCAAAACAACTTCCCCATCTTGCTGTACCCAGTGCTGTACCCCCAAAACACCTGATATCGAAAGCTTTTGAAGCTTTTGCTGCGCCCTCCTCGGCTGCGCGGGTGGAGCGGAGCTGGTCCGGACCAGGGGAGTCGCTGCATTGTCGTCACCTTTTTGGAGTCAAGGCTCACAAATCCATTTCATGAAACATTGTCAAAATGACAATTTATTTATTGAACATATGCATTTATATAGTATATTAGCTGAAATTACTTTAATAAACAAAATATTCCACCATTCCACGATATTGATATATAATATGCAATATATTCATTATTAGTTTGTGGTATTAGTTTTTTTGATAGGCTGTACTTATATAAGCACGCATGTTAAAAGATGTGGTTAGTTTTGGTCTAGAATTGTTAGTTTGATATTTTGTAATCAGTTAATTAGTCGCGGCAAATCTCTTTCAGTTTAAGCCTGTACATGGTTGCATGTTGTATTTATATATTGCATTATATTGTCTATATGGTACCAAGCATAGATGATTCTAGCCCAAAATGTGTTTCTATGCTGCAGAAAGAAAAAACATGCAGTACCATGTGTCACGCAGGCCTTTGTGCAACCTGCCCCCTTGTCGGGCTCCTTTGAATTCAAACTCTTTCGAAACTATGATGCAGTAATCTAAGACTATGACTCATCTCCTCAAAAAAAAGGAGGAGGCCTCAAACTCCCAGGTTTTGAGAATGACTGTCGTGGTCCCTGCCCTCCGGTGATTGCGTTGGGGTCCCCTGCATCCGATTCTTGAACCCAAGAACCCTCTGAACGATTCTCAGGACCAGGGTTTGGCTGAATCTCGAAAGTCTGGATCCATGAAAGGACACCCTGTTCCACCACCTGCTGTTTCGGGCCGTGCGTCGCCGTGCTCATTCAGTCTCCCCACCTGGTGGATCTGGACCTGCGAACTCGTGCTCGGCTGCTTTCTCCACCTCGAAGGCCCCATGCAGCAGCTGCGCAGCTCGCCGGTACCGCTCCGGCCGTGCGGAGAACGACGACGGAGAGGAACCTGCCGAAGTGGAAGCTGGGCCGCTGATGGCCTGGTCTGCTGCACGGGCGGAACCAAAAAGAGAGGGACATGGAACAAAATCGACCAGGAGAAAACCAATATGGATGTGCGAGCAATAGACCAACCGGAATCTAGAGTATTTAATTAAATCATATGATTGTTTGCAATAATGGAGCTTCAATCATCACAATGTTATAGGTTTGAATCAAGGGAATGCACTGTCAGAGCTTGAGCAACAAGTATACAAGCCTATATAAATATGTAGTTATATATATACATATGTATGTATATAGCAGTCGATTGGTGATGGTGTTTTTGGCTTTGGTGCGAGCCGTTTATCTTTGATTGATGTGTGAGTTCCCATGTGCTCACCCCCGATGTTTGTGTCATGTTTATGTTTTTTTAAGGCTGAGTGACTCACGAAAACCAACGACAATCACCGGGACGGACCGATCTCCAGACCCTCCGGACCTTGACCTCTTCACCCAGTTCTGTGGCGCTCAGCGCGAGGACGTCCTCGCAGGCGGGTAGTCGACCCGCGTGCACCTGGGAGGATTTGTCGGACCAGCCGCAAAGTGGGTCGGCATATGTCCAGACTTAGATGGCCATATTTGTTCAATCTTTTCCAAGATGCTGGGCAGGTGCCCGAAATCAATGATAGTGAACCTACCGCAGTATCAAGTCTACAGAAGGGGTGCTCTCACCGCGTGAGAGCGCTCCTTCCTTTATATAATTCACCATTTGTGTGAAGTTTGTTTTGCACTGTTGCTTCAACCCAACGTTTGTCAGCAACTTTGTTTTTCAAACAAACTTGCAAAATTGGGAAGAGTGAAACAGTTATGACAGGACTTGCCCCCGCCCCTCCCCTGGTCTGTGCAGAACTGTATTTTCTTGTCATTTGTGCTTTGCCTTCGGAAGTCCAATTTCCACCAACTTCACCATTTTGCACGTCCAATTCACTTTGCGGGGACCTGGGGCTTGTTGGAAAACCAAGGCCTTGCAAAGGCCTGATGAGCAAGTGCTGAAGCCAAGGCCTCCAGTTCTGAGTCCCTGCCCTCAGTGGCACTTGTTTGGTGTGCATCTCACCTTACCAAAAGCCTCCTCCATCATATCATGCATCCTTCTCCTTTGTGCACTTCTCGTCTTTGAGAAGATTCTGACGGTATAATGCATCCCACCCTATCCAGAACCGTGTCCATTAAAGGCTGTTTCCCCTCTTCTTTTTTTTTACAATGTTCATCCCAGATAAGACTTTGACCATACGAAAGTGCAAATATAGGAGCACGGAGTCCTCCTTCAGGGGAGATATTAGTTTTAATATACAAAAGGTAGTTCCTTTGTAATGGTCACAGCTTTGCTTAATAGGATTTATTTCTAAAGTTGTCCCAACCATGCATGTTGGCCTGTGCCGACGCCAATATGTTTTCCAGGAGTGTTCTAGAAGCTAAAGGAGCAGCAGAACGATAAGGAAAAGGAGTGCAGCAGAGGGAGAGAGGGGGACGAGGAGAGAGGGAGAGAGGACGAGAGTGCATAAGGAGAAGGAGCAAAGTGGAGGAGAGGGGTAGAGGGGAAAAGGAAAAAGGTATGCTACATTATCTGCTACAATGGAATGGCCCCTTCCTGTTCTAAATCTTGCCCACTAATTGGCTCACAGAAGGTGTGCTATGATATATGCTACATTGCAATGGCCCCTTTCTCCACGGATCTTTTTCTATATATATATATATACTCAATGGTAAATAACCTGATAAGGGCCCAGATGCGTGACAAGGTAGCTTCCGAGGCACAAAAGTCAAAGCAAAAGCAGAAACAGGAGCAAAAGCAAAAACACTACTGGAAACACAAGCCCAAAACTGTCCGGGAAAACAAACAAACACATATTCCCACCCTTAGTGAACAATTGCTCTTTGGCAAAGATGATGATTAAACAAATGGCTGCTTGATCTGTTTGAATCCCAGGGTATATACATATATATGTTAGGGTATATATATATGTATTCGTATGTATATATTATATAATATAGTAGGACATAATGAGGCCAATAATGCCATTATCTTTTTCCTACTGCATCACCTGCACTATGACATACTATGACTATGTATTAATACGATATATACTGTATATAACTATATACACATATTCCCCCTAATGCAATAACCAGCTTTGCTCCGGGGTCAGCTCTATACATACTTCATGCGCTGACCCCGGGTCTGGGATGAATGTGAGCGGAACTTGTGGGGGAGCTCGGGGACTCAGCGACTCAACTGCCCCAGCCACTTTGGGTGCTAGCTCCGGCTGCAGGTCCACGTCCGCATCCGCATCCACGCCGGCACGTGAGATGGCGGAGGGCAAGGGGCCAGCACCACCGCCCCGCCAAGCTGCCCGGTCTCGGGGCATGACACCCTAAGACTTGAAAGTGGCTGCGAGGATGAACTTGTTTTCTCATGCTTTCTTTTTGCTTGTTTTCGTGCTTGCAGAATTAGGTGTGATGCGATTTGATGATGGATATGGTGGGGCTGTATGGAAAAGAGTTACGGGTTCCACTCTTGCCCACAGGGAATGAAAACTATGGTTGCAGCACACAACAAGTAATTTAACTAAACTCAGTCATCATTAGTCATCATGTGCCACAAATTGATATCATCATGCAACAAATGCCAAATAACAAAAACGCATGACATTTGCAACACCGTGGCGGTCGTTCATGGGTAAGTCCACCAGGAAAGTCCTCGCAAATGCCCCACAGGTGAAGGGCAAAGGACAAGGCAGGGGGGCTCAATGGAGTTCATAGTTCTTTCGGGACCCTTTTCTGGACTCAACATGGGAAGGCACACGGTTGTGCGATCTCGAGATTTCTCTGTCTTGGCCGACTCGGCCCTACAACCGTCACAACCTGGTTCTGAGGGAGCCCACCAAAACTGGCAATTACAGGCCAAAGGCACTGCCAGGGGCAACAAAGTGAGAGAAATGCAGCAAGACTGACAGATTGGATACTATGCAAGCTAGGTCAATCTGTTAGAATGCAAGGAACCCCCGGTGTTGCGTCCGACAACAGGCCGCAAGGTAGACGACAAACAAAACATGTAGCCCCCCCCCAAAAAAAATATATATATACATATAACTATATATATATATCTTGCAATTATCCTTTCCCATCACTGCCAGCTGTTAAACAAACGGTCCTTGATCCTCAATTGATCCGAGCCCGAGCCTTGCTTGAATCCCTCCAGTCCCCGCCTTCACGCCCCCAGTATTCTGTGGCTCGGCCGCCATGCAGCGGCAATAGCGACTCAAAGGCCACAGGATCTCAGTGACGTGGCGGGAATTCCGTGGCAGCAGGTATTGATCAGCAGAGCTGCCAAGGAACCCATTGTAGACGATTCAACCGGACCATTTCAGGTCCATGCTTGAGGCTACCATGAAAAAGAAACACGAGTTACAATCACCAAGCTCAGGGAAACGAGAACAAATCACCAAGCTCATCTCCCTTACATCATGTCGAGCATGTTGCGCATGTTGAATGGTGCACTACTCCATGCTAGTCCTATATATATATATATATAGCCATAGTTCTGAATCCCAAATTGATGCAAAACGCTTACAAGATTTTGTCAAAAAGAAACCATCATATATTCTGCTTGGTATTTCTTTTAAGGCCCTCACTGCTTGCTGCTCCAAGCCATCCACCTGCACGAGTGGCGGTGCATCGAGCACGTCACGGCTGGGCCGGCAAGAGCCATCGGGCCCTCGAGCCGTGCCAAAGCCGGACCAATCAACCGCTGATAGTCAGGAGAGGAGAATCATATTCCATCATCTTCCTACCAAAAGGCGCTTAGGAGACTCATCCCTTCAGATCCCTTCACCTGACACTCCAGTCACCTTGCCCTTCGCCTCGGAGGCCTCGCGCTGGCGCTTCAGTTGCCTTGGAGGCGTCCCTTGACCGGAAGGTCCGTGCAAAAGCTCGTGGGGCACGTGGCTGTGTCTCTATTCAGGGATCTTTTTAGGGCCGCACACCTTGAATACAAAACATCCAGGGGGTGTTCATCTCGGGTTTTGGAATTGGGTTTTCCTTGGGAACCTGGGGTTTGCGTTTTTTATGCGTGTTCAAGCATTTCCCGGATTTTAGGACGTGCATATAATATACTGTTGCGATCTGTTGCGGCAATATGTTGCTTGGGTATCAAGAATAGTGGGCCTGAACTTTCCCCGGGGAATTTCAATAACGTGTCAACAAAACATACAATCGATTGTAATCCAACAACATATTTCAATCGGACAACCACTCGGTTCGTCCACCGTGTCAAGAAATACATTATCGGATACTTTCGGCTTTACCTCAGCAGGCAAACTGGGAGAATACAAGGGGCTTTCAACAAAGAAACATTGGTATTTTTCAAATCAATTTAACCAAAGAACAGTTAGGATTCAGGCTGGCGGGGTAGGGGGTGGCCCAAACCATCTTTCGGATCTGAGCCAAGATTTAAGACCTGCCAAGTTGCAGTCTTCCCTGCGAGAGCCTCACTGAAACACTGCGCCAACAAAAGAGCCGCTCAGCATCTTGCACGTCTGCAAAGCCCTCGGCGACCGTGTCACAGTGTCAAAGCACCTCCCTGGATGACTGGCGCACGCACGCTATTGTTGTGTTGGTGCCATTGGAAGCAAGCCAACTTAGCACCAAACCGTTCACCAAGCGAAAGCTCTGACCAGTGTTCCAACCCTCAAGTCGTGTCCTGTTTGGTGGAGATCCCACTGCTGTCTTTTCCCAAGACAAGGCGCACGAAGCTCCAGTTGTTGTGACTTTTCCGGATGGTCTCGAGAGCTCCGCGAAACCACCTGAAAAACTGGCACAAGTGGTGGAAGGGCACAGCTCGTTCTTCAACAAGACCTTTTGCAGCTGTTACAGTAGCGGGTCAACACACACACACACAGTGTTTTTCTGTTGATCGCTCTTCAATCCCTCCGTTCCTGCCTGCTGGAGTCCGAGGCCAATGCACACTTCTGCCTGCATGAGTCTGAGTAGTGAGCCAGAACCGCAAAGAATAGTAATAAAATAAGTGAATATGATTGAATATGTAAACAAATGGAGTCATTAATCATTACACTCCAACTCACTAACATGGAAGTGGAAAATGGCTCGTTGGATTACTATTCTCCTCTACAAACAGGTAGTTGTCCACTCTACTTCCATGTGATGTGTTCGTCAAAGGGTAAGTCGTTTGTCAATCTCAGTCGTTTGGCACATCTTGGCACTTCAAGAAGCTACTAGTAACAAGGGCATCGCTATTGGTAACTAGGGCATCGCTACCAGTAGCGATGCCCTAGCTGCTAATAGCGATGCCGCATGCCCCTGTTACCCATTCAGTCAGAACGTTTATCAGGGGCCAGGGGTCGCCACCCGGATGCATCTTTATCGGTTCAGGATGCATGACAAATGGGTTGCAATTCATTCGTCAATGGTGACAAACATGTCCAAGGCATTCCCTTTGCCGCATTTGCCCGAAGAAAAACACAGATTTACAGGGTATTCATGATATACTGATATACTGACCATTTCAATATTTGGGTCTCAGATCCGGTCGATATCCCGAGTTGGGTGGCCTCGGTGCCCAAAACAGCGGCTCCACCGGGGCAGAGCTGCGCCGCTGGCTGTTGTGCAGAGTCACCTCGGCGGATGGCATCAAAGGTAATGCGCACACAGGATTATATAAGTATCCACCCCCTATTAATCAATCCCAGCTCGACCCCCCCAAGACTAAACTAATTTAAAATCTAGATTTCCACCTTGGCACCCCCCTAATACTTTTTTCCTGGGCAGAAACCTCCCCCTTATTAATCAATCCCAGCTGCCCCAGAAAATTGTTGTTTCCGTACACATGTTTATAACTATATGAGTTCCTTTTTTTCCCGAATGCGTAGCGAAGGGTTCCCGTTTATAGTTGGGGGTCTGGGGGTTGGAGCTGTGTTTGCATGGCTTGCGTCGTGTCGTCGTTTGTCGTCGTTTGTCGTCGTTTGTCGTCATCTCTCGTCGTCTGTCGTGGTCGTGTCGTCGTCGTCGCGTCTCAAATTTGCTGCCATTGGGGGAAGCTTTTGCAAGTGACTTTTCATGGATGTGTCACGTGTCAGTTTGCGCCGCTATTCCATTGTGATTTGCATGACACCGACACGTCGCGCAAGAAACGTGATGCATTTCGCTGCACAGGCGCAGCGTTTTGTGGGATCCGCAGATTGCTGCGCAGTTCCATTGGGATTAGCGTTTGGAGAGTCGTGTTTTTGGGGTGTTGGATGTGGCCGTGCCATTGGGATTTGCGTTTCAGGGTGTGGCATCGAAGCTCGGTTTTCGTGACAAGTCTCAGCTGAAATGGCGATTTTGGTGGATGGGAGTGTGCTCTGAGCCGGTCGAAATCATTCCAAACGTGTGGTGCGGTGCAAATTTTGTTGAAGCTCACATGCGATGATATTGTCACTTTTCGTGGCAGGCGCAGGACTTCGTGCGGGTTTTGAAGCGTGGAAGTGCGATTCTCGTGGCAGACGCAGGGAATCGTGAGGTTGCGAGGTGTGAGGGAGGTAACATTTCGTGGCAGGCGCAGTACTTTGTGTGCGTTAGACGTGTGGATGGGGAAAGATTCGTGGCAGGCGCAGGGAATCGTGAGGTTGTGAGTTGTGGTAGAGGTGAATGTCGCTGTCACATTGAGCGGATGTTGTTTGGAGGGGCTGGAATCGCGAAACTGCTTGGCAGGGCTGCGTGATGTGTGCTCCGATGGGTGTTTTCGCTTGACTTTTGGAGGAAGTCTCGTACGAAGCGCTCGCTTTGGAGACTTGACGCGCAACCCTCTGCGGAGATCGCGCGTGTCGAGTGTGCGAAATGCAGGCGAGAGTGCGATTTGTCCCATGCGCGCGCAACCCTCTGCGGAGATCGCGCGTGTCGAGTGCGCGAAATGCAGGCGAGAGTGCGATTTGTTCCATGCGCGCGCAACCCTCTGCGGAGATCGTGCGTGTCGAGTGCGCGAAATGCAGGCGACCACTGGCGACTTTGTAGTACAACTTTAGTACGCGGGGTATCTGTGGAGCTGGAAGATGAGAACTGGTGACTTGGTAGTACAACTTTAGTACGCGGAGCAATCTGTGGAGCTGGAAGCTGAGAACTGGCGACTTTGTAGTACAACTTTAGTACGCGGAGTATCTGGGGAGCTGGAAGCTGAGAACTGGCGACCTTGTAGTACAACTTTAGTACGCGGAGTATCTGGGGAGCTGGAAGAGAGTCCCACAAGAGTGTCCCGCAACAGTGTCCCACCAGAGTGTCTCACAAGAGTGTCCCTTAAGAGTGTCCTACAGGAGTATCCCACAAGAGTGTCCCACAAGAGTGTCCCACAAGAGTGTCCTACAAGAGTGTCCTGCAAGAGTGACCCACAAGAGTGTCCCACAAGAGTTTCCTGCAAGAGTGACCCACAAGAGTGTCCCACAAGAGTGTCCTACAAGAGTGTCCCAGAAGAGTGTCCCACAAGAGTGTCCTACAAGAGTGTCATTTGGACATATTAGTTTTTCGAACGTGTTTGCATTCGGGTTCGTGGGTTCCATCTTGTTTACTTTCTTTTTTGCTAGTATCCAATGTCTTCTGGTCCATGGTGAAACTGATCATCAGGTCCAGGTCCTCATATCATCCATCATCAGGTCATCACCTTTATTCGGGGATGATGTGGTCCCCCAATACCTCCAATCTCAGACCTTGTTGACCTTGAATCGGTGTTGCCATTACAGAACTGACGAAAATGCCACGTGGAACATCCAAAAAGTTTTGGTGGTTTGATGTGGTTTGGTAGTTTTTCGAGGCGTCCAAGGTCGTTCAGCTTTCAGCGACGACTGATGAGTCCAACCACTGGTCGACACGTTCGTCCGGGCGGTCCGGTCGATGACGCGAGCGGTTTTTCCCGTCGTCCAAGGTCCACACGTTCGACACGTTCAGCGACTTGAAGCGTCAAGCCGGTCTTGTTGAACAGAAGGCACCTTGGATGCGTCCACCGAACAACGGATTGCCCCGGCCGTTCTGCGAACGGTTGGCCCAGTCCCGACAGTCTGACCTCGGGGGACTGACTGACGTCGAGGAATCCAGTCCTAAAGGACGAAGGCCGTGCCCATCTCGCATGTTGTGCTTCAAATCTTAGCCACTGGCAGAAACCCAAAGACGCATGGTGCGATGCTGGCTGCTGACCCACGGGGGTATATGATCGCAACCGGCTTGAAGTGATGACTGCTTGTTTCATGAGTTCTACCAAGGACCAAGAAAGTTCTACCAAGGCACTTTCCAGTAATCACCATCTCAGGACTTTGTCCAGCTTGCCAGGAACAGTGAAGGGAGCAGCTCATGTTGGAAGAAAGCCTCAACTGGTCCATCTTCAGCTCCTGGCCGCATGAAACCGATCATGGAATCTGGTGTCCAACACTATCCAACGCTCACCTGTCACCAATGTGGCCATTCAAACGGTCCACCCCGTCCTTGAACTTGGAGCGGTCACTTAACGCTTCGGCCGGCAAATCCTCAGTGCAAATCGCACAGCTCTGCAGCGGCACCAAATTGGAGGAATACTCTCAGCATCAGCGTCAGTCATTCCGCATCATTCATAATTGCATGCGAAAAAATAATGCACTCCCCGAAACAAAATGACTCATGCTTGAGCGGTTGGACCGGCTAGGACATTGTGTCAAAGCAAGTCCGCCACCGGGGTTCTTTGCTGCCATGTTTGACCTGGGGCCCTCTGACTGGTGCAGGGCGGCTCACCACTGGTGGGCCCTGGGTCTGGCCGTTTCGTTCCAACCGCTGGGTGCCCAGACCAGGACCTGTGGCTCTTCACCCTCCACAGCCAGGAGCAGCTTGCCACCGAAGGGCGATCGCCCGAAGTCGGCGGTGCCTCTGCCAGTGGTCGGTTGGCGGTCTCAGGAGGTGCTTGTCAGGGAGGTGAACTGATCTAGAAGTGGTAGGTGTCTCCTGAGTGAGTACTTGCCGTGTGTTGGTCAGAAATGTGCAACCATTGCATACCTTGTTGTATCAACATACATCAAACTCGTGTGACATGCCAAAATGAACACCCCTTGACCGTAATCACGGTTTTGCAGCCGCTTCGAGGGACCCAGTGAATTCACTTCAATTCACTCCATTTAATGATGGCTGGGGCCCCAACCGCTCCCTCTGTGAGACCCACACCTCCCGGTTCCACGTCGCAATGTTCATCCCGTATCTTCTCCCGCTGCAAGACGACCAACAACTTCACGGGCAAGGAGTTGACCACCCGCAAGCCAGGAAGAAGCAGGAGCCTTAAAAACCAAACATGTCAAGCAAACATCATCCTCAAAAGCACAGGTGAACCGTCTACAGTATATGGGCCACTAGATGCCACTGAGCTTAGTGAAGAAGGTGGTGCATTGGCCACATTCACTAGCCTTGAGCCTTATTTGAAGCGCTGCAGCACACAACATTAGGCTTTCACTAATGATAGGCCTCCAAAAATCTCAAACAATCTCAAACAGTGAACCGCCGGCCTCAACACTACCTCATCATGGACCCAACGGGGAGGGTTCAACAAAGCCCTTCAATACGTGAGACGTCGTTGGAATCCACCACTGCTGATCAAGTCACGTAAAGCGCTGCAAGGTGGTCTTCTCTGGACCGGAGCCTCCCGCTGGAGCGCATACAGTAGTCTATTGCATAGCTGAAAAAGCACACCAGGGCGGGTTGCCAAATGGCAGCATTCCTCATTCCCGTCAAGATCACTTCAAGACAAATCGAGCTACAACTACTACAGCACATGTATATATATAATATGTATAACTGTACATAACTACATATCTAAGAATCTAACATACTCTATATAACCATATCTAACCCAACGGAGGTTGCAACATGCACAAACTCACCCTGACATGACTCTGGTCTCATGTTGAGCCTCATGGGACCCGGGGACCCCTCCAGGTCAGTTTGGGGGAAAGCAAGGAGTTTTCGCGAGTTCCGACGAAAAGCAACTGGTCTCATGAATTCAATGCACAAGTCGTCCTCGATCTAAACAGCACGCACATGGCGCCAATTACAGCTACTGACTGTACCTTTGGAAGATCATTGTGACCACTGCAGCCACTCTAAAACAGGTCTGCTGGTTGGATAGTGGTACTGTTATATGGTACATCAAGGTGCACCCCAGGTGATTGTCACTATGCCAAACTCATGCAGGTGTTGTCCAACTGGGACAAATACGAGCCTCAAACACAAGGCCCCAACACTAGGCCTTGTATGTCCAACACGGCGTGTCTTTCTCCACTCCACTCATCACTCTGCCCAAACCAGTTGCCTTTCCCCAGACCGGTGCCTGTGATACTGGTGGTCTCCAAGGCCAAGCCCAAGGAGCGCCGCAGCTCCAACTCCTCCACCGCCCCCCTTCACCGGCGAGAAAAGCCACCCGAAACCCCGGTGGAACGAGGAAATGACTCCAATGACTTCGGAAAAAGCATATGAATGTATTTTGACTCATATCCATAGGGGCGTCGTCAATGACTGAGGAGGAAATGACTCAAATGAATATTGTCTTAACATGTCTTAACAAAGTTCCGTGAAGTCATTCTTTGTCGAACCAACCTAATGAATGTACGATGTTTGTTAAAACTTATCATGACAAATCAATGGATATAACACACTGAAACACACAGTTTCAACAAACATCGTGCAAAAATAGTCCAATCATGTCCAATCCCAAATCGGACCAACTGGACTCCAACCAATGGCTAGCTGGATGGCGGATTGCCTTCGATGTCCAAAAAACTACTGCTGCTACTGGGTTGGGATATCCCCCACATCTTTTTGCCTCCTTTCCTTTGACAGATTGTTCCCTCCTCTCGTCCGGAGCGGAGGATGGAGCCACCTAACCTTGCAAAGAGTTCCCGCGGCGTGGAGGGGTCAGGGTGCAAAACTTCGGTTCCCGCAAGGCACCCACCGGTTATATAAAGGTATAAAGGTTATCCACAGACTGAGCAGGCCACGTGTGAGGAGAGGCCTTTTCAAGATGAGAGTTGGACTGCCCAAGGTCTCAAGAAACCTGATTTTGAATGACAGGCATCCGACAAGCATGTTATATAAATGGATTTCGCTGTAAATTCCCTGACATGGACCTCAACCTGAACAGCCAGTGCCAACAAATTGGAATGGTGGACTCTGACTCCCTAACATGGAAGTCAATCTGGCTGGGAAAATCACATATGGAACAGGAGGTGGTCCATATCTATGTTGGTGAGCCAGAATGAGCGGCCTCACAAATAATGGATAATAGCCTAATAGCTTCATGACCAGTCCGGTGGCGTGTTTCAGTTCGGAATGGCCTCATGGACCAACATCTTTCTCTTGGGCTCCGAGCGGGAAAGCGAAGGCCAATGAGCAATGATTCTTCTTGGGTGGTATGGCTTCTGCAAGCACCTCTGGCAGCAATGACCACCAAGAACTGGGCGGACATTGTTTCCTTTACTAAGCCGCTTGTAGCTGTTTGTTTTTTTGTTGGGTGATGTTAATGCGACAGCGCAAGTGCTTGAGCATCCTTGTGCCAGACTGTGGCAGTCTTGGGAAAGACTTTTCCGCTCCTTCCAAACTGTAACTCTCCAGGCTGCTCGTGCTCGCACCTGCCAAAAGTGTTGTCCAAATCCATGAGACTCGGTGTTCACTTTCTGCAGCATGTGGAGCGGAACCTGGAAGGTGCCGCCTGCCACGGTCACTCAGGGTGCGCGAGGTGACTCAGGAAGCAAACCTGTTCCTTGCCACAAGCTAGACATTGCATACATCTCCACGGTTTACAAGAAGAAACATGCTTAATTAATGTGTTTGACATGTTTCGACCCAGTAAAGCAACAAGACACCTCACCAATTAACGTCACGAATCTCAATTTAATCCAACGGAATGAAGGCAAAACCTGTAAGTGAATGGTCGTGCAAAAACAAACAAAAGGAATCTAAACGATGCATAAACGATATTACTACCACCTTTAAACATAGATCGACACTTAGATCGACTTAAACGGAAACCATGATGTTACAGTAAATAAACGACGTCTTCATCTTTTTCTGTGCGATACGTTGCTGACCTTTTCCCGACATTTCCCCGTTCCACCTGGCGGGACGATGGCCACCTTTGGCTCCAGGTTGGGAGCTGCCCAGGCCGCCGAGGCGCGCGTCAATCCGAAGATGCCCTGTCAGCGCGCGGGGAAACCGCCGACGGCTGCCGGTGCGGTCGCTCGCTCCGCCGGGGCTCCGGGCCATTTGAGCTGCCACGGCGTGGTTTCCGTAGGGCGGATGCAAATGGAGGTGGAGAGGCAACTGTGTACCATTCCTTAGGAAGATGTGCCAGGGAAGTCCCCGAGAGCTCTGAGCTTCGGCCGAGGTGGGGCCCAAAGTAATCACATTCAACACAAAAAAGGTGCAATCTGTCTGTTTCAATCGGTTCCCTATGGTTCCCTTCTCATGTCCTCTGCTTTGAACAAGTCCATCCATGGCTCTGCAGCTCCAAGGGGGGCAGCAGTTCCAGAAGCGCTTGACCTTGCCTTGGCTGTCAGGGGTTGTGACCAGGTCTGACGGGCGAGATGCGACAGCTGGGTCCAACACGGTCCAAGGAAATGGCTCCGGATCCGCCATCTGCAACACATCCCCTCGTTCTTGCGATATCGTTTTATAAGACCTAACCAAGGGGCAAACTGCGCCACATAAATACTGTAACAAGTCCTGCTCACGGTCAGTTCAGAAAGCAAAATCCTGGTGCCGAAAAGGCGCGGGCCGATGGACAAGGAAGCAGTTAGGCAGCCTGGGCAATCTGCGCCGAGTGAGGGAGGCTCACAGCACTGGAACCCAGTTCCTGTATCCATATAGATTTTGAGTTACACATCCCTTTGTTGTAGTAGGGAACTGATGGTAGTCTGTCGTCAACATGGGACCAACCATCGGTTGCTAGCCACCTGAAGCCCCAAACGGCCAATCCACCACTGAAACCGCTGACCATTCTGACCACCTCACGCTCCAAAATCCCTCCTCTCTCTCCTCACTCCCCCCCCAAAACAAAACAGGAAGACATGGTCCGCGCGCCCTCCGGCGCCGTCCGGTCTCCAAGGGGCTTTGCACCTCGCCGCGCTCGGCGCCGCGCTCGGCGCCACGGCTGGACATGATGCCCTGCAGCGCCTTGATGGGCGCACCGCAGCGGCCGAAGCTGCTGAGATCTGGACGGGCCTCTGCCTGAAGCGTCGCGGTCGTTTTGGGATAAATGTCGCGGGCGTTTTGCAGTGTTTTTCAGAGTGGCTGTTGCATCTGGCATCTGCTGTCTGGCCAACTTTTTGGGGATTGAAGCAGATGGTGAGGATGGATCACAGTCATCCTTGTCTCACGATTCTCTGTGCAAGGAAATTGTGAGGCAGGTCCATGGATGCCCATGGAACCCCATTTCCACTCCGGAGTCTTAGCTCAAATCTCCCCAAACATATTCCTACCAGGATCATCCAAGCGATGTCCAAGGGAGATCCATGTGGTGCAGGGCTGTTGGCTGGTCCGAAATGGTCCAAATGTGTCCAACCCTATAAGGATCCTTGGGCCCTCCACAGCAGGGGTTGGACACTCTATAACAGGGGTTTGTACCCTGAAAACCCTTGGTTTTTGAGGGTCCGGATCCTTAGGGCCTTAGGGAAATACTCTCAAATCGAAGCCTCCCCACATTCCTCACATCGATCGGGTGCTCCGACCAAACCGGCAAAGCCCAGGTACGCTCTTGTAGACACTCACTTCGGTCACTCCCACGCAAAGGCTGCATCTCACATCCGGAACCACCACCGTGCTGGGCTGACCATCTGCCTCTAGAACCTGCTGATGCGAAGGCTGCTGCCGAACAGTGAGAGAGGTGCGAACCTGCTGGGATGGTGTCTTTTCTTACATCTTCCTGTAAAACTGAAGACTCAAGCCTTAACAAATCTGATAGGTAAATCTAGTGATCATTCTGCGACTCGTTCATTCCTTCCTGGAGGGTATGTAGGTGGTCTTGTCCTGCACCCTAATCAAAACCATGAGGGTCAAGTTCCTTATGGCTTCGTTCTGGTTTCATCCCTGCTCAGCAAACCCAACTTCACACAGCTTGTCTGGCAGAGTCTAGTGCAAGGTTGCTGTCAAGTATGTTACTTCTTGACCGGCATACACCTAGAGACAACGAGGTGTCAATGAGCTCTGACGACTGCTTCTCGGATCGCATCCAAATGGAAAGCACCGTAGCCCCACCATTGGCACCTTGTTGATCAGCCAAGAAACGCTGGAGAATCCCATCTCTACCCACCTCCTCCAACCGTTTTCCAGCACTCTTTCGGCGACGCCCCAAGCGACGCACCGGCCTCCACAGGTCCAATGCGTTGCTTTGAACCTGTGACCAGGGAGGGTGTGCCGGGACTGGTCGCAGGTGTATTACATGCGCAGGGGACTGGCCGAAACGGAGAGAAGAAGACAGAAACTCCAGTGGCTTGTGCACTGTGCAGTGTATTGGCAATGTGATTTGCTGTATACTGTATACACTAAACTCTCATATATAGGAGTTAAGAAAGGGTACATAGGGGGCTACATGCCCAACATTGGCAGGATTGCCGGGTGTGAGTTGAAAGCTGGCCATGATCGTTGCTTGGTGTCTGGCCACTGGCCAAAGACCAAGCATGGATGAGTCCACTTTGGAGCGTTACAACCACGCACTTCGGTACGGCCCGGAACTCTTCCGCACAGCCTCTTTCAAACCAAACCTCGCCAGGCACCCCGCAGCGGTTTAGTACTTGCAAAGTCCTGCTGCTTTGGCAGCCTGGGCGCTTCGCCGGACGCCACGAGAAGCTTTCTAGAAAGAACCCGTTGGGGACCAGCCGGGCAGGGGGCACCATAATAAATTCATCAATAAGAATAAATACAATATAAATACGACATATATATATATATATATCATATATAATATGACTACCCGTGGATCGACAAACGGGGTCACCCCAGCAACGGATGGTTCTGGCATGTTCTGGTGTGCCCAAATTGGAGCTTGATCATGTTGACCACACGGCAGTGCATCACCTTCCAAACTTCAAGTTGCTAGGCTAGTTTTGTGGTGGGTGTAAGAGTGTAAGAAGCTACCACCACCACCACCACCGCCACCGCCACCACCACCAGAAAGCAATCATAATTTTGGGGGTGTATATAACCTTTGGATTCCTTCGGCAAGGAAGCATGGTATATCATTGAAGCATCTTGATCCTCAAAGATCAGCAACCCCGGCGTGTTCTCAACCCAGTTCCATCGGAAAGTAACACAAACACACACACACAACGTGAGAAGAGCGCAGAAAAGACGAATGAATTGAACAAATGCCCGATGAGTTGCATGGCAATGTCAGCATGGCAAGCGCCCTCACCCCACCACGCATCGAGTCCGGCAGTTAAGGATGTTTGGCTGAGCGAACACATCAAGTCATGCCCAGTCACTTCGCGTTTCTGGTGAATCCTCCTACATCACGCGGTGTTTGGCCCACATCGTGTGCGGCTTGGATTGAGATGCGTACAGTGAAGGGGCCATCTCGCTGTTGCTGGGCGTTGGTTCTTGGCGACATGACGACACTGTGACTAAATGACTATAACAGACTACAAATGGAACGGTAGACTATGATAGATCTATATAGGCCCATCACCCCATTCCTGATTCCTTACTAAACCTGCCCACGTTTCACTTTCTCCGCTACTCAGTTCCTTCCACAGTCCTCCGTTCTGCTGGTAGGGCTGTGATTGCTTTCTTGGTCCTGACACAGCTCCCAACATGGATGTTCATCCATTGGAATGGATGAACATCGGTTGGCATCGGCGCCCAGCCGGCTCGGCGACGTACGTGAAAAGCGGCACCCACGGAGCCGAGCCCGTCCGAGCCGAAGACATTCCGTGTGAATCACAAAGCAAACCAACGTGGCTGGTGTATGTACGGCATATATATACAGTATATATACATAACTGGCCAGTCTAGCAAGCGCCCACCTGCGGGCTGTTCTTTCAACATTGAACACCATACAAAGGGTTTAGAAACTGCCAGCCTGTGCAAGCGTTCCTGCAGATGCGCCAGCAGAAGCAGTGTCGACGGACCAAACTACAATCTCAGATGGCTCCTTGGGTTCTGCATGCCGTTGCGCCCCTTTCCTACTCAAATCCAGGATGACAGGACAAATTATGGGTCCCTCGTAAACTACCAGCACTCCATGTCCCGGTGGCATGGGTCGACAATCATCAATTCTTCTCATCTTGACTCTTATCTCGTTGGGCCTTGTATCTGGGTGTATCTGGCTGTTTTGGATAAGGATCCCCCGCACCAAAGATGCAAAATGATCTAGTGTGACTCAGTGTGACCCAGTTGCCGACACTTGGCCAGCCCGCTGCTGTGGACACATATGGAAGAAAACATGTCCAATCCATCCCACTGTGGAGGGAACTGAGTGGTTTGGAGAAGAACAATGTGATCAGTGATAATAATCATGGTGTCCAACAGATTCACAACAAATGGACACACACGTGGAAGTGAAAGTTCTGAATGCTGCAGATATTATTCTATTGTATGTTCTTCCTCTACGCCACAAACAGGAGATTATCATGTTTATAGACTTGGAACTGTTGATTCCTGGAATTGCATGCCAAGCTTCTGGCGGATCGCTGCGCGCCTCGATCGCAGTTGCACGAAGTATGGAGGATTGCAGCCAATCATAGTGATTTTCGGGCTCTTATATATATATATATATATTGTTTGTATGTCTCTATAAACATCTTTCAAAACTGGCGGTTTTTGACAAAATAAACAATCATCAAACATCCTCACCTTCAGAACAACTCCTTGGACTCTCATTGGGTCATGGACCCCGTGCCAACCAGGTCGAAAGCATCGAACCCACGTGGCTGGCTGTTTCGGCTCCTTCCCCCGTGGCTCTACCTGGCCTAGTCGGTCAGGCCACACGGAGAAGGCCTTTATCCGATGGATATGGGCCACTGGTCTGACCAAGGCACAGGTTTTGGGGTCGAGCCGGGTGCAGTATGACGTGAACCCACTTATCTGGACATCGCAACATGCCAGGCACGCCTCACCCACTCCTTTGGACGAGTCTCTTCAGCTTCCACGAAGAGTTCGAACTGCAACATGTCAGTTTGGTGAAGCTCTGTGACATGCCAACCAGCAGGCAGCATGATCCGCGCCAAGTTCTAGGTCGGTTCCAATGAACCCCAAACAGCGCCCAGTCTAAACTGCAGCTCTGACTACGGATTGATATTTGCAGGACTCAAACACTGCAATAAGCACTCAATAAGCATCAAATTTGAACACAAGCAAGGCCTGCTGGCCTTTGGCACCTTGGGGATTGGCAAGAAAAGCCTTTTGGAAGCTGACCGAAGCGGGCACAGGCCACACAAAAGGCCCCCCTGCCAGGCACGCACAGACCCGTGACCCGTGACCCTTACATCGGCAAGCCCACTCTCCAAACGTTCGCTTTCACCAGGTCCAAAGGCTCGGACCAGTACAACCGATCGGGCGTATGTTGACCTTGTGATCAACTAATGACATGTCCATATAGATTTGTTTGAACATGCTTGGGCTTGGATCACATTGGATCACTGATATTTCAGCGGTCAGCATGGACCACCAGTGCATCCTGGTGGCTTTGGCAGAGTTCAGCTCAAAGGGTATCATCCATTTCGCTTTGTTGGAGCCACCTGATTCTTGTCGCATTGGAGCCACCAAGTTGGCGCGGAGTCTAAGGTCCTTTCATCACTGGCAACATATCTGTATACATCTGTATACCAGGGTCAACAAAACCTTCTAGTCCTAGAGGCAAATCCAACCGAATCTAATAGGTCCAACTTCAGTGCGTGTTTCCCTTCAACACGATTCTTAACATTTCCAAACTAAGCGTGGCAGCGGCACCAAGTATTGAGTTTCATCATGATGAAGCTTAGCGTTTCAGTCTCATCAATGGAGAAATCATGAACCCACACCACCACTGACTGTTCCACCACCTGTGCCTGTCGATGTTTCTCACCAAGCGGCGTCGATCAAGGCCTCTTGGAGGGCCAGTGCCTGGAGCCGTCGGACTCACGGGGCAAGGTCGTTGGCGCGGCAACCGTTGTGCCCGTCGTGCACAGAGCTCAAAGACTTGCAGAAGTAGAGAATTGGATTGGACCACTAGGTCGTCACAAGTCGTTACCATCTGTTCTGGCTTCGCGTCAAAGATGAATACAACAATCTCGTATAAAACAACCAAGAATGGACCCTCTCAAGGTGCCTAAGCACGGTAGATGTTACCTAACGACAAACCATTCCATCCTATTCTGCAACACCGAAGTGCTTGCCACACCCAATTCTGCGTGAGCAGTGACGTTTGGCGGCCGGTTCTGGCAAGGCACTCACTTGAACAATCTCTTCACCAGGCACTTTGGTACCGACCCCAGCTGCATCCTCAAATGGGCAAAATCACGGGGGTGGGGCCAATCAAGGGGGTCAACCTTGCGAAGGTACGCAAAGTAAACCACAGTGCTCTCCTTGGTTCTCCCACATTTGCAATTTCCACCAACCATCAAAATAGGGAATACATCAACTGAAAAGGACGCGATTGTCCTCTGACCCACCTGGACCATCCGTTCGGGGTGTACAATGGAGATCATTGTGTGTAGGGGGTCGAAATCGGCCGCAGGGGTTGACTTTCTCCATGTGGCCAATCATCTTGGGTTTCAGAACATGATCCGCAACTCCAGGCAACAAACTGAACTGGAACGCATCGAATACATTGCAATAAGGAATAAGGGAACATCATAACATCTTTTGACCTGGGGGTTCACCACGGCCATCTTGGGCTGGTTCAGGATATATCAGGACCTTGACCTCTGCACCTCGCGCTCAGCCGTGCAACAGGATCATTCAGGATCAGCTTGAACTCTTGGAGCTTCTCTTGCGTCCTAGGCACATTGGGGAGCCGACGGAGCCGACGTCTGCCCGGGAAAATGAACGGGGATTCAAAGGAGCTGAACATTGAGAGGTTCTTGAAAGGCTTCTTCTTGTTTGAATGGCTGTGCCCTGGCATATTGTTTCACCATGTTTCACCCATTTTCAGCTATCAATGAACTGGATTGTAGCCACAAACCATGCCAAGCACTTGTTCAAGAAAGATTGGAGGGTTTCGTGCCGCCCCCAAAACCAGGCACACATGCCATTTTTTGAGCATATGTGTACCACCAAACCCAGCGGCAAACGTCTCAGGCCCTGCAATAAATGCGCCAGGGGTGCTGTACCTGCAGGGAGTGGAGCTTCGGAGTTCGGGTCGTTCCGGTCACCAGCTGTGCACTTCCGAGGTGGTGGGAGATTGAGATATCACACGTCCATTCAAATGGTATAAACATGTAGAAACCTCCAGGACGGCCGGGCCACCATGGGTCCTTAAGAAATGGGGAGTTGCGCTTTCTGCCCCCTGGAGTCTTGTGGTGATGGTACAGCTTCACTGGCACAAAAGATTGTAACCAAAAACGTACAAAAGTTAAGTATTGCAAGGCCATCACCTGCAAAGAAAGTCCGACAGCCCCCAAGAATTGATTGTAAGATATTGTGGGATTTGTACATCATTCAAAAGGCAACTGACTGACAAAAAAGGTGTTTCTCTTTCCAACGAAGCATCCCATTTCACTGACGTCTACGCCTCTTGCGGCAGCGCAAAGAGAGAGAGAGAGAGAGAGAGAGAGCGCCCGCGCCTCCGGCACTTTGAGAGATGTCACCTCTGAACGCATCCGGATCCTGCACCGTTCCCACGTGTGACATGAGCTGAACGGAAAGAATTGGACTCCAAACCTATCACGCCCCGGAAACACTCAGTTGCTACTGTTCACTGAGGTGGGTCCCACTTGCGTGTCTCAAATCGAAACGATATCGACATCGAAACAAATCTACCTAGAAACACCAGGCGAAACCTCTGAATGTTCCCAGAGTATCCCAGAGTGGATTCTCCATTGCGGCGCCCCTCCTCCGGAGGCATCAGCGTTCGCACGATCGGCTTCACACCCAGCAGCAAGGAAGAGGTGACGTTCATCACGAAGTGGCAATCCGCGATGAAGCCTAGACACACGGAGAATCCTTGTTTTGATGGCCTTTTTGGAGTTGGCATGAATCATGGACCCATCGTCATGGATGATGTCTCAACACGCTTATATACATTAAATTGATCTTAATTACGTAATAAGGATGATTGAGGAAAGGAATCACTGCTGAAGAAACGCATCCTTGGTCAAAGGAATGGTCCATAACTTCTCGGACTTCTTCTGTATCTGCTGGCAAACTGTCTGTCTGGACCAGCCCAATGTGATGGATGTAGTCCGAAAGGAACAGCCGCCAACAAATAGGACCATTGGAAGTTCCCGATCACAACTACCATGTTACATATATACAGTATACACCAGTCTATCAATCAAACGCTCAGAATGGTTGAAAACAAGGCTTGCAGTAGACGGACCCATGCAAACCCATGCAAACTCCTGCCATTACAAAGGGGCCAACCGTAGGCCACCACCTTTCAGAGAAGACCCACCTGAGAATCGGTTCATGAAGGACGCCCAACGACGTCTCCTGAATCGCTGCGAACGGTCGAGTTCCTCCAAGCCGAGTGGCGGCAGGTTAAAGCCTTGACACCTGCGGGGCTGTCCACCTCACTCACTGAAGTCAGGTTTGGACCACGTTGTTACTTTACACATGAAACAATATATATATATATATATCGGTCACCGGTTGAGGGCTTCTATGGTTGAGACCTGTTGAAACAGGTCTATACTGTATATATATATATATGTTACAGTATAAGTTACTTTGGGGAGACGATCCTTTTTCAGCGATTCGTCTCAGCCAAAAGAACTGTCTTTCAAACCACACAGCACACGCACTCTGGTGGCCAGGGCACGCACACATTGAAGCCCCAGGATTCCATGATAAACTCGGGATGGTGATGGCAAGGGTTCCTGAGTGAATCGTGGACAGCCTGTCTGAAACCTCTGAACACCACAGCTATCACTGCAACATGGTGAAGAATGCAAAATCGCTCTTTACATCTCTTCACCTTTCCACCTGTGACAAAGGCTGGTAGGCAAATGTTGGGAATGAATGATGAACTGCCATTTAGAAGCTACAAACTCTGTTCTGCACCTACACCATAGGGCTTTCTCGTCCATGTTGCATGCTGTTGCATGCCGTCGCATTCTGTTGCATGTGTGGTCTCAGTGTCATGAACAGCTCCCATAGGCCACATGAGACCTCTTCATACCTCTTCCAAATGTTTAAGAACATGAATCCCTAAGTTGCGAACAGTGCACCGGCAAAAGCCTTGCGCTCAGACTCTCAGACGAGGCTCATGCAACTGCTAAAGAAGCCTGGCGAAATCGCTGGGGCTGGAAGGGCGAGCAAACAATTCATCCCCGAGGCATGGAATGGCTACAGTGGCGGCTACAGTATCTCCGCAAGCAGTGTCCCTAAACTGATGGACACTGGTGACACCATGCGCGAAAAGAACATGACAATCCAAATGTTCAAGAACCCTCCTGATCCTCCGGTTACACTGCAGGCAATAACGCTGGCAATTACATCCCGTGGCTCCTCGTACCACAATGGTTGCTTTCAGCTGGTCCTCAAAGGACAGGTGTCGATGTCCTGTGCGAACGGTGCCATAGGGGGACGCGTTGATTTCAAAAGCATTGAGGACTCGTGACTCGTGTGCTCAATCAGGTCCCTTCTCATCTAGTTTTTCTGTTCTCGCCTTCTTGAAATACATATGGTCCCTCCGAAGCAGCTTGGGAGCATCCCCTGATATTCAATAGGCCAAGGGGGGACCAATTCTGCATATCAAAGTGATTGCCTCTCAGGAAATCTAAAAAGAAAAACATGTCATCACAGTCATCACTGCCTTGGTCATAATATGTCATAATATGATCAAACTCATCACTTGTTAACTTGTTAATGACTCACACTCAATAATTACCGAATTAAGCATCTGAAGTTGACCAGATCAAAATCTCCCGACTTGGGGGCAAAGCTGGGCAATAACCCAGTTGACATGAGCAAATCAGTCAGGAATTCTGCTTCAGTTGCCTTTCCAGGCTGAAGCGCTTCGTACTCAGATTTTACTGGATCATTAGAAATTCCCTGCGGAACGGGCACACTTCCCGTGCCTGGAGAGAGCTACCCCTCCAAGGGCAAGTGAAGTTCTGACGTGGAAACACTCTATGAAAATAGTATGATGTAGTGTATATCGGGGCGGCAACTTCCAAACACGAGTCGTGAAAACGCAAGGTATGCGCATTGCATTGCCCATACAAGAATAAGGACCCCGCACAAAGATGCTATTCATCAGATTTGACATAGCTGTGCATGATCAACGCCTTGAATCTGCTAAACGTGGGCTCAACATTTTCTTGATATTCCTTAAGTCTAAGTTCATGTTCACGTCTTCCCGGGTATCCGCCACTGGCAATCCTAGAAAAGTCACCCTCGCCTGTGGCATGCCAATAGGTCAGCTCCAAATCAAAGGCCTTCGAGTCGTCACCTCAGTGTCCACGTGAATTTCGGGCAGCAAAACCCGAGGCCCGCGCACGGACACGCGAAGTTTCAAAAGATTGCGACGGCTCGCAGGAGTTTGTATGGGACGGCTAGCCCAGGGGCTGTCCGAAGCTGCGCCCAAACTCAAGCGATGTTGACCCCGCAGCTGGCTGAGTGGGTCCTGCCACGAAAGAATTTGCTCTCAAGTTGGGCGCAACGCAAAAACTAGTCTTGGCATGTTCTGACCGGACTGTCCAGATCCGTCCCCCGAAGCGGTGGTCGAAACGTTCCCGATTCGGAGGCCAGCGAAACGAGCGAAACGCGGATGGCGTCCTCCAGGTTCAGCCTGACAGTCAAAGGGGCTCGGGAGGTGACAAATGATCGGCAAGTGGGGGCTTCTATGCGCTGACGCGCACCTACCGTGGCATACACGATTTGAAGACGTTCTATATATATATATTTTTTAAAAAAAAAAAAAATAAATATATACTATATATACTGATATACTTGACAAATAACGCAAAGAAATTCAAAACATAGAAGCTGAAAAATGTAGGCTCCTCGGTTTTTATGCTCTCTACTAGAATAAATAGATGTATATATATATACTAACCTTGCCGTGGCCTCTATGTCATTATGTAATCCACATCAGATACGCACTAGTAGGCACGCACTGGCCACCTGCCAGTCACTATACCCAGCCAAAGGCTATGGGTCAAACCAGCGACTCACGCACTGGCGCAACTCACTTCACTGCTCCACCGGCTTTTTGCCGGCGAATTCAACGAGTAGGAAAGAGTTCAACGAGTAGGAAAGAGGGACCTGAAAACGGATATGCTGCTATGACTGCTATGCTATGCTATGCTTGCAACATGAATTACAGTCTGCAGAGTTGTTACTTGGCCTGGGACACTGCCCCCAGCCCGGAGCTTGTGGATGATGATTTAGAAGAACCTCTATTTTTGTAGAACCTACTCTTTGCACTGGAGGTTGGATCCCGCTGACAACCTTTATGTTTGATCGTTGAACCATTTCCACATCATCCCCATACTGCCTGAAGCCATCGCAGGCCATCCGCAGCTTGAGTCCGCTGCGATGTCGTGGGCCGGTGCGCCGGCTCTGTGCAGTGGCTGTCTTCTCCTCTCCGTTGAGGGGGTTGGGGTCATCCATATCCCCACTACACCTTGAGTGGCTCAGACCTGCCAGAGCCCGGATCCAGATTCACAAAATGAGACCGGTGGGGCCGGTGGGGTGATGTGGGGTGGTGTTTGGAAGCTTGCTACAGCTGCTCTATGATGTAAATGAATCATATGTATGTCTTCCAGAACCTCCATAGGCAGCTTGCTGGACGTTTCTGGTCATCCAGGACCCATGGATGCGCTTATTAATTCAGTTTGTTCCATGCTTCCATTGCGGTGTCGATCGTGTCATGACCCAGGCCGCATGCTTGTTCGGTTCTCGTCGCTCCCAATCCCGTCTCCTCGGTGATCTGTTGGATTTGACCCGAGTCGGACAAGGCCGCAAACATGAGCTCCCGAGCCGACAGCACAGGGCGATCGGGCCTGGTCCGGTGCACCGCGGGGTCGTTTCCACGAGTGGCGGTGTGGTTCTTCCGTTCATCGGAAGGCTTTGTCGGACATCAAGCAACGACGACTCACGACCTCCATGAAACCTAGTTGTTATTCTGAGGGAAATGGTTGGAGACGTCAGCCAAGCTATGTATCCAGGGTGCCTGCATGTTCCTTGCCTAAAAAAGAACAAGACCTACCTGGATGTGGCACCCTTTAAGGACTGTAACTTCTGAGTCCCGGCCGGGGCGAACCTTTACCTGTACCACTGTACCACATCCACCGGTGAGGAAATCCTTTCTTGGCAAAAGCAACGCTTAACATGTAATGTCCTACTTCACTTCCATTCATTTCTCTTTTTTTTCTGACCAAGCAGCCACGCACGCAACAAAAACAAAAACACAACATCTATCCAACATCTGGGCCAAGGCACTCGATCTCCCAATGAGCGTCCGGTGCCACCTCCGGACGCAAGGTGCTCTCCCACCACTCCTTGGCATCGCCTCAGGACGGCGTCGCCTCCCGCAACACCGGGACCCCGTTCGTAGCGTCCGAACGCTCCGTTCGAGTCGCGATGCCCTTTGTGACTGGTAGCGAACATTGCTCCTACAAGTAGTAGTAGGGCCAGGAGCCCCTAGTAGCGTCCTTGCCACTATCAAAAGGGGATGCCACTTCAGACTTGTTGAGCCAATTTTTGGGGCGTCTCCACCAAGGCACTGTAGTTTCGCAAAGCGCGTAGCAGCTTCCACTGCAAGGTCAAGGGTGAGCTGTTCTTAGAACACAGGTTGCATGTCTCCAAACATGCCGCGTCCCATCATGACCATCAGCACATATCAGCACTAGTCTTTCCAAGGCAAGGCATTGTTGGCTTCTTGGAAAAATGACTGGATCCCTTTGGGCGGTTTCTGTCTGCGGCTGTGCATCAGAACCTCCTCCAACTTGTGCTTGGATGTCTTCATGAAGGAGATTCCACAACCGGGCCTGCTGGCGACGCCATTCAGTCCACTGGATTCAGGCTGTAAGAGTCCAACCGTCCGCCATGATGGAAGATTTACTCATTTACTCACTTCAAACATCGGCCTTGTGGAGAAAGACTAGGTCTAGGTGAAGGCGCTGGTTTGGCAGCATGGTGAATGCATGGATGCGATGAGAGCGAGAGAGATCAGCTTCACTTGCACCCTCCTGTTCCGCGAGTCTTCACTTCCACATCAGGGTCGGTCAACAATCAACATACCTGCTCTCACTGCCCTCGTGCAACTTTATTTGATCGCGCGTGAGCCCCAAACATGATGTCTTCATTGGGAAACACAACGCCTTATCTTCTCCATACACACACTCTCAACCCTGGCACAAGGAAGTTCCAAAGCGGTTCATCCAATCCAATCACAACCCCGCCTTTGAGGCCTGGTCATCCTCCTGGCCAGCCAGGGCAGGATGATTGCTATAGTTCTCATGAGGCTGGGACAATCTCAAAGGGAAAAAACAAAAACATCGAAGAAAACACCAGCAGCAGGTGGCTATCTCTTAATATCCATCGCCCAATCGCTTTGCTGTATGTATGTGGTTTGATTTCAATTTATTTCAACTTCCCCGTATGTCGCATATCCTCTTACAGAAATTCTTATCGATTCTTACCAGTCAACTTTGCAGGGACCTTTCTTGACCCATGTTCTGACAGGTTCCTCTCGTGCAGCTACCAAACACTTCCTGTACGTGAGGATGGCTTCAATCCGGAACAGTGCCCGACTCGTGCAACTATATACTGTAAATCGACCATCGGGTGATGGTTTAATCCACGACAAGCCACAGAAACACACTTCACCCCGTGGCACAGTCATGATTTGCCATTTGTGAAGTTTCACTTGACCTACAGCAGTTTGACTTGACTTCACCCGAATTGATTGATGTCCACTTAAACTTGAGGGGCGCATTTGCGGCCCAACACGCACATGTGCAGGTCCTGGATTAAAGGACACCTGAGTTCCTTTGAGTTGGAACATTGGCAAACTTTTTTCAGGTCTAGCTTCATCCTTTCGCATTACACCCTGGTCCCACACAGTCCATCGCACTGACAAGATGCTCGTCTGCTCCTCGCTTTGAGCGACCCGACCACAAGTGATACGATGTGAAGGTATGAAGGTTCATTCAATCAGAAATCCAAATGCCACGCATGATCGCATCACCAAGTCCATGTCTTGAGTGGGTTTACCATGCTTCACCCCAGCAATCCCCCACAAATCCCACCAAAACCCATCTCAGCTCAGGCACTCCACCACGCCACTCCCCCACTCCCCTTTCCTCCGCGCGGAACGCGTGCCCAAACAGTTTGGGCGCGGCCTCATCGTGTCCTTCCAGGAAGCTCTTTGAGGCCAACTCCCCGGCTCGGAGACCTCGAGGTCGAGGAACGAACCCGAGGAACGAACCGAGACGACGACGCCAAGACGTGGGTCGGAGGACCGCACCGGGTGGTCTGTGCTCTTTTTGTTGGGGCGGGAAGGTGCGAAGTGGGGTGAAACTTATGGTTGATCACGAGTTATCATAAAAGGATCACGTTTATATATGATCAATGTCGAACTGTTGTATCATGTTGTTCTTTTGAATCTTCGAGATGTTCAACGGAGTCCAAACTGATATTCACAGTTTCTGTGGCGCAAACATGCAACCTGCCAGGTGTCCCAGTCATGTGACTGCCCTGAAATCTACTAGTCCCGTTATTGATTGACCAATAGGCCACATGCGTCATGTCTCCTTGTCAACGGCCCTCCAAAGAGTCTAGCTGGGGCTCCAATTCTCTATATCTCCAGCTCCGCCCTATCGCGCATTCTGCCCTTCCCAGCTCGTTCAAGGCGCTCAAAGGTCCAAAGTTTTTCGAAGCGCTCCGACCTTCTCCACCTCTTTCGAAGCAAATCTGCAGATCTGGGTCTGGGTCATTCAGGGTGGTCAACGATTTGGTGCCAACACCGAGTTTCTTCCAAGAACATGAAGTCCAAATGGACTACCCTATTAACTACCCGGTGACTCTCCGACAGCGTCTGTGGTTGGTCAACGATGGATCACCCTACACTTCTTCGAAGACTCGGACGGGGTTGCACAAGCTGACATCAAGGATATGATAGTATAGTAACTGTAACTATACTGATGCAAGAGGTGCAGCATCATAGCAACATCATGTAACATCTCTCCTTCAACAGTAGGGGGCCCGGGTGGCTCTTCATGTCCTCTTCATTCTCCAGATTTCTCCTGCCACCAATTTCTGGGGTTCTACAGTCTACATGGTAGCACATCCAAGAGAGATGGGCGATGATGGGTTGCACTCCCACTCAAGACAAATTGAACAGCTTCAAATAGACTCGTGGGTTGAGCAATGTTGTTCCATATTTTCCCTGAGCACCGACCAACGGTTGCGTGGGAGGGGGGTCATGTGTTCTCTGTGCTTAGGTTTCGCCTGAATGTGAAGCTACATTTTGGGCAGGGCTAACACGGTGAACCTCAGATTGATAGACTAATATATAAACGACATGATCGTAGCCAATGATTCCCCTCGTCCCATGGACTGCTTTCCCACTTCCCACCGGGCGCGATGGTCGCAGGACCGACCGCACCTGCGAGAGCGTCGCAGAACTCTTCGAAGGAGACCTTTCCATCGTTGGAGCTGTCCTCAGAGCCGCCGCGGCGGATGTGCCACGAAGACGTGCCATGCGGAGGTTTGGAATCATCTCATGAACAATATGAACATCCAATCATTGTGGAAGAAAAGGAAGGTTTGGACGATGATCGAAAATGATGTTGTCAGTGATGTTGTCTCATGTCGACTCCCATGCAGGGGTGATTTTGGCAGGACCTAGAAATGTGTGGCAGTCAGGAACGAGCCAAGGTGTGTGTGCACCGTGATAGTGCATATAAGGCGTTCAATGTAGGCCCACTTTCTCCAGGGCAGTGCTCAATGTCATGGACTACTTCAGGTCATCAGTAATTATAAAATATTACTTGAGGCCAAGGGGGGGGGGCGAAAGCTAGCGCTCCAGAATGGGAAAGTGGAGGGCAGCGAGGTAGGAAAAAACACGGCGCTCTTTTTGGAGGCAGGGGTGAAGAGTCCTTTATATGTGGCTCTTTGCCCGGATCCTCCTGCGAGAGAAGAGAGAGAAGAGAGACGGAAAGACGAGAGACAGAGAGGAGAGAGAGAGAGAGAAGAGAGAGAAGAGAGAGATGAGAAAGAGATGAGAAAGAGATGAGAAAGAGATGAGAGAGATGAGAGAGATGAGAGAGATGAGAGAGATGAGAG